GGCTGTGACGTCATACATCAGCTTCTGCGAAGACAGCTGTGTACCAACACGCACCAGGGTGAGTTTCAACAACAACAAGCCCTGGTTCACACCAAAACTGAAACAGCTAATAGATTGCAAAAGGAGGAGGCGTTTAGGAGTGGAAGTACGTCTTTAGCAAGGCGGTGAGAGATGCTAAACGACAATACTCTGGGAAACTCCAACATCAGCTCTCAGCAAACGACTCTGCTTCTGTTTGGCGTGGTCGTAAGACAGATCACAAACTACAAGCCAAAACCCTCCCTCTCCGTGAACGACCGACGCCTTGCAAACGATCTGCAGTTCTACTGCAGATTTGAAGACAGAGAGTTCAGTCCTGACACCATCCCCCATGACACCTCTCAACAGCTTCAGTCTCACACCTCCACATCCCCCTCCCCTTCAGTATCTATCTCCCCCGACACATCAGACTCTCTCAATTGATGAAAGGGATGTAAACAGACTATTCAGAAAACTCAATAGCAGAAAAGTGGCTGGCCCTGACAATGTCTCCCCCTCCACCCTGAAGCTCTGTGCTGATCAGCTGTCTCCTGTGTGTACTGACATCTTTAACACCTCACTGGAGACATGCCACGTCCCAGCATGCTTCAAAACCTCAACAATCATCCCGGTTCCCAAGAAAACAAGGATCACAGGACTAAATGACTACAGACCCGTCGCCCTGACCTCTGTGGTTATGAAGTCCTTTGAGCGCCTTGTCCTGTCCCACCTGAAATCCATCACAGACCCACTCCTGGACCCCCTGCAGTTCGCCTACAGAACCAACAGGTCTGTGGACGACTCTGTCAACATGGCACTTCACTTCCTCCTCCAACACCTGGACACACCAGGAAACTACGTCAGGATCCTGTTTGTGGACTTCAGCTCCGCCTTCATTACATTACATTACATTGCATTTAGCTGACGCTTTTATCCAAAGCGACTCACAATAAGTGCATTCGACACCTTCAACACCATCATCCCGGCTCTGCTGCAGGACAAGCTCTCCCAGCTGCACGTGCCCGACTCCACCTGCAGGTGGATCACAGATTTCCTGTTTGACAGGAAACAGCACGTGAGGCTTGGGAAACACGTCTCTGACCCCCGGACCATCAGCACCGGTTCCCCTCAAGGCTGCGTTCTTTCACCTCTGCTCTTCTCCCTGTATACCAACAGCTGCACCTCCAGTCACCAGTCTGTCAAGCTCCTGAAGTTCGCAGATGACACCACGCTCATCGGACATCTCTGGTGGGGACGAGTCTGCCTACAGGTGGGAGATGGACCATCTGGTGACCTGGTGCAGGGACAACCACCTGGAGCTCAACGCTCTCAAGACAGTGGAGATGGTTGTGGACTTCAGGAAGACCGCAGCCCCACCCACCCCCATCACTCTGTGTGACTCCCCAGTAACTGCTGTGGAGTCTTTCTGCTTCCTGGGCACCATCATCGCCCAGGACCTCAAATGGGAGCAGAACATCTGCTCCCTCATCAAAAAAGCACAGCAGAGGATGTTCTTCCTGAGGCAGCTGAAGAAATTCAACCTGCCAAAGACGATGATGGTGAACTTCTACACCTCCATCATCGAGTCCATCCTCATCTCCTCCATCACCATCTGGTACGCCGCAGCCACAGCCAAGGATAAGGGCAGGCTGCAGCGTGTCATCCGCTCTGCAGAGAAGGTGATCGGCTGTAATCTGCCATCCCTCCACGACCTGCACGCCTCCAGAACCCTGAGGCGGGCAGGGAAGATAGTGGGCAGGGAAGATAGTGGCCGACCCCTCCCACCCTGGACACAAACTGTTCACCCCCCTCCCCTCTGGCAGGAGGCTGCGCTCCATCGGGACCAGAACCTCTCGGCACCTGAACAGTTTCTTCCCCTCCGCTACCGGCCTCTTAAACAAGGCCCGGCCCCCCCGCTGACACTTTACCTCTGCCACATCGTAGACTATATGCATTACATTAATGCACACAATGTTCATACTCCTTACTGCACATATTCTTATTTCACATTTCATAGTTTATATTCTAAAATTCATTCATAGCATTCTATTTCCATGTAAATTACTGCTTTATTTAATTTGTATTGCTATTTAACTGTATTTTATTTTATTACGGTGTAAAAGATTTTGTGTTTTATATTAGATTTCTTGTTTTTTATATTTGATGTATGCACCATGACATCAAGTCAAATTCCTAGTATGTGCGAACCTACCTGGCAATAAACCTGTTTCTGATTCTGATTCTGATTCCGGAAAAGTCAACGGGCGTGAGCACCTGCTCCTGCAAATGAAAAGAGAAGAAATGTCTTTTTAGATAGTACATTAAGTGAGTTCAGTCCTCATAAGGAGTCCACTGTTTAAATCATTTATATGCACAAAAAGAAAATGCGTTTTCTTATAAACGCCAACATTTCACAGACATGTAAATGTGAATATGATTCTGGAGATGTTTTTTTCCTTGCAGACATGGATGTGCTGCGGTGGGGCTCCCAGGGAAATAGCTCATTTATAGTAATTCCCCTATGGATTAGTGAACCTTGTTTGCATGAAAATAGGAGAGGAAACTTGTGATGTGCGTTAAACCTCTGATCTATCTCAGGCTTTTTTTCTATCTCTCTAAAAACACCCATACAGTACAGACATGCCAGCGACAGTCTCTGAGGATTAGTGATACGCCATCACTCACGAGGTACCAATTAAACTCACAGAATAGACTGTCTGATGAAGATGATCTGCACTATGCATACTAATATATAACATACTGGTGCTGGTGTGAAACTAAAAGCAATTTTATTTTAACACAACATACAAGACTTCGGGAAATAAGCTAATTTGTTTTCTTGTTGAGAGTTAGATGAGAAGATTGTTATTACTCATATCTGTCGGGAAATATGAACTTACAGCAGTCTGATAGCTTAGCTTAGCACAAAGAAAGAAAACAGTTAGCCTGGCCAGAGGTTTAAAAAAAAGTCAGGCTCCTACTACACATCTTCCGTTATAGGCTGAAAACCCAACTGTTTTCTGCCATGATCACTTTCCAGAGATGTACAATCCTGTCTCATTGTATGTATCCTAAACTGAACTTCTCCTTTAACAGACAGCAACTATCACAAAACGTTACTTGATTGTTTTTCACATATTTTATTGCAAGACATGGGAATTACAGGTTTAGCATCTTGTTAGTTTGTCAGAAGATTTCTCCCTGAATCCAATTATTATTTAATTATGTGAGTTATTATAACACTCACATGTTTTACTTTCAAACTTCACCTGCAGCCTTTTCATATCATACTGTGAAAATAATTGTGTTTCATTGTACTATTACGTAGTGACTTCTAATCATAACATTAAATTAGATTACATAAAGCCACAATGATCCCCACGGGCTGGTGCAGCAGCAGCAAAGTGTTTTTATGATAAATGACTTTATTATACTGCGGATGATAAAAGAAAATGATAAAGTGAGTGTGTGTGTGTGTGTGTGTGTGTGTGTGTGTGTGTGTGTGTGTGTGTGTGTGTGTGTGTGTGTGTGTGTGTGTGTGTGTGTGTATTAGATGTGCATATGATCAGATTCACACATGGATGTAATACAGAGAAATAATCCTGCACACATTGTTAGCTTTTACATTTCTTCAGATAATAAAACAAAAGTAGTGCAAACACAGAAATAAAACATCCTGCAGCTTGCTTGACTCTCTGTTACTTTATTAAATATACAAAATAAAACCTCCTCTGACAGGAATATTAATAATTACATAACAGGTTGTGACTCATTATGTGTAAAGAGATTATTTATTGCACTGAAGTAGGGGTGTAAGGATGGGTGGAGCTGCAGTGATGAGTGATTTTCTGGCTCGTAAGGTGGAGAGAAGAGACGACAAATGGTGACCCCCCGTCTTCCTGGGTCATCTCTCCACCCGCCCCCTGCTCCAGCCGACCCTGACCTTCCAGACTGATCAATGAACACCTAGTCTGGGTCCCGCCCATCAGTGTGTGTGGTGTGTGTGTGGTGTCTGGGCCTCCACAGGTTCGCTTCATGTAATCTGGGAGCCCGGAGAGGAAAAGTGACAGCTGATACCCACTGCATGGTGTTGACCTCCCACTGACACATTAACCACACACACACTCACACACACACACACACACACACACACACACACACACACACACACACACACACACACACACACACACACACACACACACACACACACACACACACAGTAAGAGAGAGGATTGCCTTTCAGTCCAGATGCTCATAACATCGAGTTGCTCACACACACACACACACACACACACACACACACACACACACACACACACACACACACACACACACACACACACACACACACACACACACACACACACACACACACAATTCCTGTTTGGTGTTGTTCTCAGCAATAAAAACAGTTACAATTACAATATACTTAAGGTACAAATCATATCATTAAAGAGGCCCTATTATATTTTGTGTCATTGTGACATGTCTCCATGCTTTAATGTTCAAAAAGCTCTTTGTTGTTCTCATACTGCCTGTGCTGCAGCACCTCTTTTCACCCTCTGTCTGAAACCAGAGCCTAGTCTGCTCTGATTGGTTAGCTAGCCGGCGCTGTTGTGATTGGTCAACCAGAGATTTCCCGCCCCTTATCACGTACAATGTGTCGGATCGCTAGCCCCCCTGACACACCAGGCAGTCACCAGAGAACTCGCCGACGTCCAACACCGACAGATCCATCGACGAGTTCTCCTGCGTCTAGGCCGTGTGTCGCACTGAAATACACCGCTTTACTTCAGCCGAGCACGTACGAACTGCGCATGCGTGAGTGGCAATAAGTGCCCTTACCAGCAGGCGGTGGTAGTGTGTATTCGTCATTCAAAATAGGCAACAACCGGAAGAAAGAGAAGAAGAACAGACTGTGATATAAACAAACAGCAAATAGCGGGTGTGTTCCATTTTCAGTCTTGTCCATTGAAAACATGTATCGTGCGGCACTGGGGATATCAGCCATTGGAGTGTTGCTTGTGCAACACATTATCAAGAAACAGTATCTCAAGAGGCAGAAGCGACGAATAACGAGAAACCGCACTAAATGGGTGAAATCGTGGATACTGCAGCGAGAGGCTCATGGGGCTTTCCCGAACCTGTGTCGAGAGCTGGAGTTACATGAAAAGCCAGATTTCCGAAATTTTGCTCAGCTTTTTCCTGTTCAGTTCCACATGTTGGAGGAACTCCTCACTCCAATCATCCAGAGGGAAAACACGAACTACCGGGATTGCATCTCCGTGGGGACACGTTTGATGGTTACGCTGCGATTTTTGGCAACAGGTATGCAAGCTAAAGATGTTGCTATATTTGAAATTGCAGCCAGCACTTTGTATATTATTGTATATTGTGCTTTAGTAGTAATACCGCAGTGTAATGTAGATGTACTAGTGTAAATACAAAACCAAAGTACCAAAGTACTGCTTGGTTGCTTGAGAAATTACCAAGGGATCAATAAAGCGTTATCTTCTTCCTATAATAATGCATGTTAAAATATTTCATTATTATATGTTGTATCATTTGTCTGAATCTTCATAGTACTTAAAGTAATCAACTATCTTGTAAACTATAACCTGTAGTTTTGTAGCTAATGAGTGTTTTGTTCAGCTGCTTGTGTAGATAACTCAGTTATGTGTTTGTTAATATTTGCAGGGGAAAGCTTCAGGAGCCTTTCCTACCAGTTCCGAGTGGGAGTGTCAACCATCCGGCAATTCGTTCCAGAGACCTGTACAGCCATCTACGAGGTTTTAAAAGAGAAATACCTGAAGGTATGTGTGGATACTTACTAGTTTTACTGTGCAAACGGTATGTAATACAGTGAGGTCTGTAGGCATTTGAACAGCAAATGTTTGGTTTGCCATATGAAACATGGCTCTTAAAAAATATATGTTTTGTTTTTCAGTGCCCAGACACAGTGGAAGAGTGGCAGCAAGTAGCTGATGGATTCCAGGCTCAGTGGAACTTCCCAAACTGCCTAGGTGCCCTGGATGGGAAACACATCAACATCCGCCCCCCTCCAAGAACTGGATCAACCTACTACAACTACAAACATACATTTTCCATTGTGCTAATGGCACTGGTCGACAGCAACTATAAGTTCTTGTATGTCGATGTAGGTTGTAATGGGAGGATTTCAGATGGTGGTGTGTTTGGTGGATGCTCACTGCAGGATGCCTTGGAGAATAGGACATGCAACATCCCTGCACCTGCACCACTTCCTGCTTCTGACGAGGCGGTTTGTTACCACATTGTGGCAGATGAGGCATTTCCCCTGAAAGAGTACCTCATGAAGCCCTATCCGAACCGCAGGCTAGCTGTAAAGGAACGCATCTTCAACTACAGGCTGTCGCGGGCTCGGAGGGTGGTAGAAAATGCCTTTGGCATCCTAGCCAACCGTTTTCGGGTCTTCCTAACCACCATAAACATTCAAGACACTGCCAAAGTGGAGGCCATTGTTTTGGCTGGCTGTGCTCTGCACAACTTCCTGCGCACAGAGAGCTGTAGCGCATACATGGCGGGAGTTGTTGACCAGGAAGGACCCGATCATGAAACTGTCCCAGGAAGTTGGAGACAAGACCCTGACCTACGGCAAGCCACCCTGCCACCCACCACCAATAACTCAGCTCGAGCCAAGCAGCACAGGGATGAACTGTGCCAATATTTTAACGGTATTGGTGCAGTGCCTTTTCAGTGGGATAAGATATAGTACCATCTTTTTCTCTCCTGGTGGTTTGGCTCATAAAGGGGTTGTGTTGTGATATTATCCTCCAGCTTTGTGAAAGTCTATTCTTTGAAAGCAGATTTGGGTTCTCTGTTGATAATAGCTCATTCTGATGTTGTGTTATGTGTGTCTGAAGGTACAAAATAAATTTTTGCATTGCCTATCCTGCTATTTGTGTTTATTATTTTAATCACACAGCGATAAGAAACAATAACTATGTGCCTACATAACTGTCAGTTGCAGCCCTAGCATTAGTATTGGTTATAGTAACAGCTACAACATTTAAATACTTCTAGGCAGATTGAGGAGGAGAATGGGAGAATGAACAGAGGGGCAGAGACATCCATCTGAATAATAATAATAACTTTATTTGTATATCACCTTTCATACAGGGGATTGCAGTTCAAAGTGCTTCACATCAGTAAAAAATAAGACATAAAATCTGTGTAAAACAAGCAGCAAAGCATAAAGTGGGATAAAATAATGCAGATATATTATATCAATATATCGATATTGTAATCCCAACAGCCCACCTTGTTTATGGTTTGATTCAGTTTAGTAGAATATAAAATACATGAATGATGAAAATGAGCACATAAAGTGCAGACACACTATACTATTCACCTGCATAGTCTTATGAATTATGGCTTCTATATTTTGCTATAATGTATTTTAAAGCAGAAATACACATCTGTGCCGTGTTTTCTTTTAAAACCAAACTGGTTGTCAGCTGTGGTAATATACCTTTCCAGCCTATCCAACATGGTCAATACAAAAGGAATGTGATCTGTAGTGGCCAACTCATATCAAAAGTCAATGTTGTCAAGAGAAGCGTGTGCATCAGCTGTGCATATACAGTGATCAAGCCATTATACAGTATGCCATGCTTCACTAATATATGTAAAGCTTTTATCAGGTATTAGAGATTTACATGACAGTATGAGAATATTATCGTCAAAAAAAATATAGTAAACATTTGCCCAACCGAGAGTTATCATCCGAAATGTCAGCATTGAAGTTCAAATGAACTGCGGTAGACAGTATGTCATGTACTTAGATACTGTACTTAAGGACAATCTTGAAGTACTTGAGTCTTAATCCTGCAACTTCATACTTATGCTCCACAACAGTTCGATGATGAAGAAACCATCATGTCTGAAAGGCTACATGTGAATAGAGGGGCAGAAAACCGTCTTGGACATTTACATTTCAATCTTGAAGTACTTGAGTCTTAATCCTGCAACTTCATACTTATGCTCCACAACAGTTCGATGATGAAGAAACCATCATGTCTGAAAGGCTACATGTGAATAGAGGGGCAGAAAACCGTCTTGGACATTTACATTTCAATCTTGAACAAAGAACAGCGGTAGACAGTATGTGATGTACTTAGACACTGTACTTAAGGACAATGTTGAAGTACTTGAGACTAATCCTGCAACTTTAAGGCCCTGCTCCACTCCCATTCAGTGTACTTTATACTGCGCTACATTTATTTGATAACTTCACTTAACTTTGAAGATTCTGAACACTACAAAATGTAATCAAGACATATTTTATCATGTATTATTATAGGTTAAGATAAAATGTTATTGATCCCATGGTGAATTTCCTAAGCTACCCAGCAGTATATGATGTAATTTAAATCAGCTCCTCCACTTCAGCTCTCTGAAGCAGAAATAAATCATTCTATGTTGTGTTATGTAATGGCTGTAGTATGAAGGTACGAAATAAAGTTTTGCAGTTTAGGTAGAAAGTGGTTTATTATCCAACAATATAATAAAAAAAGTAAACTATCTACAAAAATACAATACAATAAAAATGCTATGCAATACAGAAAAAAAAATGTTATTGCCACAACTGTCTGTAAAAAGAATTAGACATTTTAAAATGAACTTTAAAAAAACAAAACATGTTTAGACAACACAGTTAAATGTCTAGAGATTTCTGTATGTAGTCGAGGTTTGAGTTCCCTCTAAGTGCCGGAAGAAGGCATTGTCCACGGTATTCAGGAATGGTTGAATCTCAGGAGGTGCCAACATCCGCAGTCTGTGCTCAAACACTTGGGCATGGGCCGTGAATACGTCATTCACTCTACTCGGGGACAACTGTGCCAGAGTGTTGGTGATCCCATGCAGCAATGTTTGTGATTGGTCGGCGATGGACTCATCCCGCGAATCCTGCAGCATCCTGCGCTTCGCCGGAGTCATTCTATTGCTGGGTGTGCTTGGCCTCTCTCCGAGCGGTGACGGTGAGGGTGCCGGCGCCGGTGTGTTGCAGATGTTGGATTCTGCCAGGGGAGTGCAGGGCTCAGCATCAATGTGGAAGGAATCCTCAGTGGTGCTGGACATGCTGGTTTCAGTGCTGGTGCCACCGAGGGGTGATTCTGCAGCCCCCGGACGTTCCTTAAAAAATGTTATATAAATTCACAGTTAGTTGGATTTAATACCATGGATTCTTAAAACTGTTTACTAAGCATTCATAACAAAACAATACCCTGAAATGTGTGTGCCATTAGTTCGGGGTGTGGTCAAGTGTGAGAGGCACATTGTAGAAACATTGTGATGGCTCTATTCAGATGCTAAAACGTACTTCTAGAAGATTCAGAACACTACAAAAATATAATCAAGACATATTTTATCATGTATTATTATTATTATAGGTTAAGATAAAAGCATTATTGATCCCATGGTGAATTTCATAAGCTACCCAGCAGTATATAATGTAATTTAAATTAGCTCCTCCTTTACCAGCTGCAACATTAAGGTGATGATCACATCAATAATTATAATACAATAATATATATATATATTATTCTGTTATTGTTATATTTACCACTGTAACCACCACATGAATGCAAATAATGTTTTTGTAATTGAAAGAAGCAAGAAACACGTATTTGTACTCAACAAATAAAATAGTTACCGTGAAGGTGAGGTTGGAAGTACTCTCCTTCCTTTTGGTGAAAGGCTCCAGAAACTGCAGCCTGTTCAGGAACCACCTTTGTCTGCCGGTCATTGGCGTAGCAGAACTACCCGAAGAGGCAAGTCTCCGGTACCGGGTGTACTGGGTTCGCATAGAATCCCATTTCTTCCGCAGCTCTTTCTCTGAAGCACACAAATAAAGGATGTAAGCATGGTGGCTCAAATCATATCTATATGCAGTGCCAAACAAGTAGCAACAGCTACCAACAAGATAACAACAAAACACAAGGTTGAAATAACAAATTACATTTCACGTACACTGGCAAAGAATAAAAAACCAACAGTTTCTGCTCAAGAGCTCAATTGATGAAAAAAGATAATCTTACCTGAGAAACCAAGTTGCGATTCTATCTCTCGCCAGAGTCCCGTTTTAACGATTCGATTTGAGTATTTAGCCTCTGTAATATCATACAGAGCTGGCCTCTCCTGGATCAAAGTGATGAACAGGTCTTCGATTGCTTCATTCCAGATCGCCATGATGATCAATACACCGATGAGATGAAAATGAATAGCCATCTGTGTGTGTGTGCCTTCTTCAATCATTTGTTTACGTCCCTCACTTCTGTTTCGCTTCTCATTCGCTAGCTGAACAGCCAATCAGAGTGCTTTCTTGGCCCGATAGCTTGTGGTCGACAGCCGGCCGATTCAACATGTTGAATCGGCCGGGTGTCGATCGTGAAAGGCCAAATAAGGCGTGTCACGGCCGAGGGTTCGGGACACACCAAATTGACAAGGAACCCGTTTTCGCCCAACAAGGCCATACGGCCGATATCGGCCTGGTGTGTAGGGGCCTTAATAGAAGCGATAGTGTTGCATAGTGATGTCACTATGTTACAGAAGTAAACAAAGGAGTCCAAGGAGGCGTTTCAGGCAGGGGGGCGAGTGTGTGGGAGAGAGGGAACACAGGGATTTTAGCCTTTGCGGACCATTTTCATCTATTTAAAAATGACAGGGATTGGAAAACCTCCAAAAAGCATAATAGGGCCTCTTTAAAAATTTATATTTTTAGTAGTAGTCCCTTCTCCTATAATTGGTCAATTTTAACCTGGTAGATTACTTTGGTTTAAAGGTAGGGTAGGTAAGTTTGAGAAACCGGCTCGAGATACACTTTTTGTTATATTCCATGGAATGCTCTTAACATCCCGATAGCAATGAATATCTTAAGTGCTTTGACAAAAAATCCATAAAAAAATGTCATCTGTGGAAGCCGTAGTACTGTAAAAAGTACGACCAATCATTTGAGCCGGCCCGGCTAAAATAACTGGATGGCCTACCTGCCTGTCAGCCTTCCATAGTTGCACAAACTAATCTTGTGCCCTCATTGGTCATGTGCGCGTTCGTGTGTGTTGGAGGAGGGGCTCTGTAAGGAAGTGGCAGATTTTCTCTGGTTGTGTATTTTCTAATTCTAGCGATCTGGAGCCGGTTTCTCAAACTTACCTACCCTACCTTTAAGTGCCTGAAATAAGGATTAACACAAGCTAAAAAGGAAATATAAAGTACATCCCACTTACCTTTAAAACAGCAACATATACAATAAAAAAAACACTTCTGTTACACCCATTCGTTAAAACATTTGACACATTAGGTTATCCAGGAACATGTATATGGGGGGATGATGCACCCTGCAGTCATCCATGCATTAATTCATCATGACTCATGCATTTAGGCCTTACTTAAAGGAGAAGTGTGCAGCATTAATTGGCATCTAGCAGTCGGGATGCATCTTGCACCGAATTTTGCTCGGCTTATCACTACCTTTACAAGTGTTTCCCAAAGTCTGACGTAGGAATGGTAAACTCCACGGAAGAGAAGCAGCTCTCTATGCAGATACGAAGGGCTTATTTTAAGCTGACAAAAAGCGTCTTAGTTTCAGGTAGTTACACACTGAAGAAAACACATAACTTTTTATCAGAAATTCATCTTAATACTACACACTGGTCCTTTAATATGTGAACCCACTTTTAAAACTGTTACATAAAAGCCTTTTATTTCAGAAACTCACGATCATCTTTTATTTCCAAAACATTGTATTTGTTACTTTGGATGATCCAAAGAATGCACTGTGCTTTTTCTC